TCTGATGGGCAGTTCTACTCTCCGCCAGAGTCTTTGGCAGGTCTGTTTCCTCCCACTGACATCAGACAAACCCAAACACACTCGCTTCAGCTGTCGCTCCTTCAGACTGCTCAGTCTGATGATTCTGACTCTTCATTCCCATTTAAATGAGCGTACAGACACAAAATATGAAGATATACAGATCATTTTATTGTCATTATTATTATTATTATTATTATTATTATTATTACAGTTTTTAGATTTCCAGCTTTGCACTTCACACCCAGAAATGAGTGGCGTAGCTCCTTCAGTATTTGTTTCACTGCACAGTGAAAGGAGCTTTTTCATCTGCAGACATCTTATTGCTTAGAAAATAATTCAATTACTCAGCTGCCTCTGCAGTGAGCCTTCCATACAATGGGTGGGCCCATCCTTTGCAGACACAGACACTCTCCAGAGCAGAAGCAGAGCTGCAGTCGATAACACAAAATACAAAAATAATTCCCGCTTCTGTAAAATGTGAAGAATTAAAAAGGAAGGTTTATTCTCACACCAGACTCCTGCAGCTGCTTTGAAGCTGCAGCCTCCTGCAGACGGATTAAGACAAGCCTCAGATGTTTCACACAGGTCAATAAACAAGAAAATTTAAAAATGATGAAACCTGACAAGACAGGAATTGTCAGGACCAGCTGGTTAGCAGTGGCTGGATTTTCAAAATAAGAGCGAAGGGCATCATCTGCTATTAAGCAGTTGTAGATGCCATTAATGTCTTTAAGGATAATAAATTTAGTTGGCATGAAAACCTGAGCCGTCTGGGTTCAGAGGGGTCGTCTTCTAATCTGAAGGTTGGCAGTTAAAATCCTGGCTCCACCGTTCTTTTCCCATCCTACATTTTCTGTGGTGTTTCTATAAAAACGCTGACCGATTTCCCTTTCGTGTTCAGACTCTGACGAGGAGCTGGATGATAAACACGAACCTGAAAAAGGGCTCATTACACAAGTGACTTAACAGGTAAAAATACGTAATGACAGTCAGTCAGGATTCGTGTCCACAGTATTAGTCTGATGTGCTGTTTTATTTCTCCACAGGATCTCCGATCCTGAACATGGAGGGATTTTTGGGTCCTCCAGCGTTGTGCTACTGAGGGGAAAACTTCTGCCTTACACTTTCAGCCATTTTAGTTTGTATTTGTTCCAAAGGAGTTCATATCCACAAATGCAGCTCACGTTCTGATATCAGCCTTCTGCACGTACACCGGGAAAGTGCCACTTAAAAGTTTCAGTGTCATGAACTTTGGTTACTGTATGAGTTTTGTTTCTCCACCTTTAAGGAACTTGAGACCTTACAAGAGATTTATCTGAAATAAATCATTACATCCTTATCAGCATCCATCCATAATTCAAAACATTACATTCATTTTAAAACTTAAAAAAAATATATATATATATACACTTTCAATTAAAAAACAGAGTGTTAATGTCTTATTTCCAGCATAATGTTTACTTATAATTCTGTGATCATTTTCTTATGCTTCGGTTGAGTCACTGCAAAGGAAAATAGGCTCATGGATGCCACAGAAAGGATTGTTCATCCAGTATTGAGCCTGCAGACCAGACTGTAGCAGAAAGAGAAAGTCAAACTCTTACAGATGTTTATGATTACTTCAATGTCTTAAAAATGTGCATGAAAGAATATTAAGGTAACATATAGAGATGTGAACGATACTGTTTGTTTTGAAACGAGAGCGAAGGATCGTGTGTTAAAGAAAACGAGCCATAAACGTGCAGCATGTACACTCGGAGATTTGGGTTTCGTGCACTGAACAGAAGGGACGCTGCTCTCGAAAGCTGCTGTGACGGGCGGGGAAACGCTCTAATGGAAATGTACATATCTTCATGCATGCTTTGCAAGCTCAGTGGATGTTTATTCTTTGTTTTCTTTTTTTAAAGAAAAGCCCGTCTGTATAACAGAATCATTAAAATGTTAAAGGTTATGTGGTTTTGTTTAATTGTTTATGTCAAACCTCGACCTTAAAGAGTTCAACAGAATAAGAACTTAGACATAAATTAGCCTTATGAATAAATAAAATGTGAAAATATTCCTTTAAAAAAACCCTTTTCATCTCTATTTTTTCTTAAGCCTAATTACTAGTCTTAATTAAGGTGAACAGACTCTGAAAGGGGGACTTTTATTTTAATTGTGTGTAATATATTAATTACATTTATTAAATAAAGATTAACCCTTATTTTTAAAGAAGACATGCTACTGAATACATGGACTGTAGATAAAAGATGGAGGTGACCTTTTACTAGAGTTATTAGTTTTGAATTTT